GAGGTTCTCAGTGTCTTCATCTGGCCCCCAGCAGCACAGCATCGGAGGCCCTTTTGGTCATGCGCTGGGGACACCGGTCACCTCCAAGGCATCTACTGCTCTTGTCCTCCAAGCTGTGTGACTTTCATGCCAGGCTTGGGGCCCCAGAGTCTCTGGTGACACGGGGGCCACCGGGCCGGGTTCCTGCCTCCCCTGGTGACTACAGATGTCCTCTGCCTCCCAGGGCACAGGGTGGGAGGCACTCACACCTCCCTTCTGAAATCCCCCCCAACACCCCCCCCACCTTTTCTCCCTGGCATTCTCCCTCCCATAGTTTTCCATTTGTCTCTAAGAAAGTCTTCATCCAATCCCTCAGGCAGGTAGCAAGAAGCTGCTTGAAAGGGAGGGGTCGTGGAGCAGTGAAAGATACAGGAGAACAAACACAAGTGAATATTTCAATAAATTACTGGGCCATGGATATCAAAGTGTGCATCAGCGATGCTAATGTCCGAACCGAAGAGCGGCAGGAGGTAGGGGTCCTGGAAGGATGGGTCACACGGGCACGCAGAGGGGCTGGCAGGGGTGCAAAGGGAGATGAGCCGTGAAGGCACCCAACAGTCATAGAGTGCCATGTCATCTCTCTGGCGTCCTGCCCATCGGGGCAGCTGCGCCTGTAGGGCTCAGAGGGGGACGTGACCTGCCTCAGGTCACACAGGTCCACATGGGCCGTCCAAGCCCTCAGCCCAACTGGCAGTCAAACAAGAGAGGGGACTCAGGAACCACTGCTGCTGCCTGCCGTCTGGCCTTGTGACCTGGAATCTGCCAACACTGCTGTGTGACCCTGGGTAGGTTAGGTCACCGTTCCCTGCCTCAGTTTCCTCCTCTGTAACACAAGGACGGTAGCGGCCCCCACCTGCAAGCGGGTGAGGAGGGGAAGCACATCAAACGTGGCCTAGAACATGGCCCCCTGGCACCATGCCTGAGCGGGGCGTGGGGTGGCCAGAAGCACCCAAGTTGTTGGATCGGAGCTGGAGAGCTTCCTTCCAGGTCATCTGGACAGGAGTTGGGGAGCTGGCCAGGGCCCGCTGCAGCGGGGAGCAGCTCGGGAGCTGATTTCTGAGCTGTGCGTGGACGGGAGGGGTGGGTGAGGCCACGCAGGGGGCGTCTGGAGTGGGGTCGAGCCCTAGGGTCCAACAGCCCTCTCTCCTCCGGAAGGCAAGGAGGGGAGCCTCTGGGGCCTAAATTGGCCAGAGGGGGCATCAGAAAATGAACAGAATAGCGGTGGGTATTTCTTCCCTCCTCCTTTGTCTCCCTCATCTTCCCCCCCCCCCCCCGCCGTCCTTCTCTGCCTCTTCCCCTTCTCTCCCCCTCTGTCTTCCTTTCTTTTGTCCCCACTTTGTTCCAAAAAGCCTGGGAGGAAGAGTCTGCGCTCCGAGCTATGTCATAAGTAACCCCCTTGTGTACTTGCGGTTTACCTACCTGTAGAAAAATCTGTACCTAAGATCACCACATGCTGTGGGCAAATGGTTTCTGATTCCACTCCACAAATATTTACTGTGCTCTGGTTAACTGAGCGTACTTTGTGCTGGAGGTGCCACAGAGATGCAAATGGGCAAGGCCAGTCCTTGCAGGAGCCAGTTGGGGGCCCCTGGCTGATGTTGGCAGAAGACAAGCCCTCCTTTCCCAAGGATGCTAAAGGGCTCTCTGTCTCCCAGTGCCCTGGGCACACTTCCTTCTCCAGCCGAGTGCAGAAAGGGGCATGGCTGCCAGTCCTGCAAGGTCTCAACAAGACCGTACATTGAAGGCGTAAGTCCACGGGAACGAGGCCGAGCCCGGCCTGCAGGTATGGGAGGGCTTGGTAAATATCTGTGGGCTCACTGCTGATGGCATGCATGAGCTGAGATTCTGATTTCACATCTATTTCTTCCTTGCCTGTGAGTTTTCCACGATCATCCATTTACATAGAACTTTCCCCTTAACGCATTTTCTCGGACCACACCAGGCTTTGAAACGGGCGGCCCCAGTTTTAGTTGCATGCCATTTAATTCGGAGAGGACATTCCCAGCCTAACAATCAAGCAAGATTTAGCCAGGTCCCAGGATGAGCACAGTGCTGATTTGCCAGAACTCTCGGGGCTAAAGGGAATTAGAAAAATAAGGGAAAAATAAGATCTGAAGAGCAACTGGGGGTTGTAGTCGGGAAGACTGTTCCCCAAATGCTTTAGGCTCTGAATTCCTGGACTTGGTGTGATGTGGAGCCGTCTGTGAGTAATTCTGACCGATAAATGATGAACAGAAGTGACACGTGCTTCTTTTGGGCTGGATCCCTGAATCGTTCACGTGAGGCCTGCCGGAGACTTCCTCTCCTCAGGCCTGGCAACCATCATTGTTCTAAGTAGGGGCTGCTTCGGCCTCATCCTTGAAAAATGCCATGTGGACAGCCCCTCTTCTGGCCCACCGCAGACGTGGTGGAGTGAGATGTAAGCCCTGGTTGTAGCCACTGAAATTGGGGCTTGTTAGTGCAGCATGACTTGGCCTGTCCTGACTGGTACACTGGGAAAACAGAAACCCTGACCTGAGAGGCAGGCCTTCCTTATCCTCTCTTCAAAGTTCAAAATACCAAATCTTCTCCCTTTTCCTCACTCTTATCAAGCAACACTGTGCTTTATCTGGTCAATATTTATCATGTAGCATGAGTAAAAGAGGTAAAAAAAAAAAGTTTTGTTAGAAATGTACAGAAAGCAATGAGTCCATTTGAGGTTGGGAAGTTTGCAGTGTGACGGAGGAGACAAGAAATGGAACCTTTTCCCTCACCCCTAATATGGGTAGAACAACAGAATCCCAGGCCATTACCAGTGACCTTTATGGTAGACTTTAGAGGTGATCAAACTTAACTTTATAGCCTAAGAAGGCATTACTTCTCCATCTCTGACTTAGCTGTCCCTACCCAATGCCAGTCATGAAGCTGAGCACTAGAGACAGGTGAATGAAACCCAGTCTAATGGGTACAGTGACCCAAGAGGGGTTTGGACCTAGTGCTCAGAGCACCGAGGAGGAAAGAAGCTACTTCAGATGAGAAATCAGGGAAGGCTTCTTGGAAGAGGTGGTAGTTTACCTATGAGAGCCTTACCCCTCACTGTATGTTTATTTGTTTGGGCCAATTCCTGACTGGCGTGGGAAATACGAAAATGGATATTGGGCGTGGCTCACCACCTTCTCCACCATTTGGGCCAACTCAACCCTCCGTAACCCACCAGAAATTATACTTCTCAGCCCTGTGACTTCCCAGACTGCCTTATGGATGTCCAGACTTTTGTCCAGGTACAGTGTGGTCTCTTCTCTGGATGGTGAGAGCCCAGTTGGGTGAACCCTGCCTGCTCTGTAAAACCAGGAATTAAAACGAGAGCCTGACATTCTAGGCAAAGTGTTGCAAGTGCTCATCTAATCGTGCTCTGTGCAAAGAATCCCTGCCTTGGTTGGGGTGGGTGGCCATGTGTTCAACTCCCATCCCCAATCTCCTGTGGGGAGAATCACTGAAGAATGGCTTTGTTCTGGGTTGTTCAGCTCTGCAGCCTTTAGCAAGCAACTCATTCACAAGTGAGTACAAATTAATACAGTACACACCAGTTACATAAATATTGTGCTGTAATTGATTGTCTTCTGTAATCAAAGGCAAGGCTGCTGACTTTGTTACTTCCCCTACCTTGCAACTCTGGGGTAAGGGAACTGAGGTGGTAGAAGTGGGTTTTGCTGCATGGGTCTGTTTGTGAGCTGTGTCTCATGTATTGAGAAGAGGGGTAAGAGCCCTTACATTCAGATTCAATGAGTATTTATCAAATGCCTATTATGTGAGAGGCACTGAAAGACCTATTATCTTAGTTCGTTATGAATTGAGTTAATAGTAGGAACAATTTGATAATATGACACAAAAGTTAGTCTTTACAATAACATTTCCCCCCTGGTAGATATGCTTGTTGGACTTTAAATAATCCTTTAGGTTTTAAAAACCTGATGTAAACTTACTAAGGAAAATAAAAAGACATGGCAGCTCCTATCTCTTCGCTTACAGAAACCACAGAGGGCAGAAGAACAAGATCTTCAGTTCCGGGTGGTAGGTAAGTGGATTGTAGTAGCCGATTTTCGAAAGTTAGAACAGGGTAGGTGAGCCAGTGATCTCCTGCTATTTGCCTGCATCTGCTTTATTGATTGTTGAATCACTTCCATGCATGGCATTGGAAATTTTAAGTTAATTCCCACAATACAAGAAAGCAACGTCATCTTTCCATTTACCTGCCAACGCTAAGGCCGGCTGGGTTTTTCCATCAGTTGTTTGGATTCGGAGGACAGTGACTTCGTGGGGGCAACCTCTCACTTCCCCCCCTGCTGGGACTCGAGTGTATCTGGGAGAATTTGGACGGAGCTCTGCCCGTTGAGAAGCCTGAGTTTTAAAATCCAAAAGCAAGCCCCCTTTGCCTTGTCTACGGAGAGACTTTGCGTAAATCCCCGAGGAAGCTCCGTTGTCGCCTGACCCCTGCGGGTAGTGCAGTTTCCCTAACCTTGACCCGAAGTCAGCCGTTTTTAACTCCTTTCCAAAACATCGCACCAGCCTGGCTGTGGTTTGAAAGAAAAACGAAACCGCCCGTTTTGGGCGTCCGCAAAAGGGCACCCGCTCCCTGGGGGCTAGGAGCAACTTCTCGACCACCCGGCCCAGTGATCTGAGATGATCGCGGACCACCAGACCCCTTTCCGCTCCCGGTGCCCAACTCGCTCGCTGCCACTTCCCTCCACAAACGCCGGCAGGAGTGGGTGGCAGCACCGAGGCGATTTTATTCGCGTTTTTTCCCTCTGCGTTTTGTCATGGAAACGCTGACACAACCTCCAGACGGCGGCCGAGCCCGGCCGGGGACTGAGGGCTTTTGGGACCCTGCGGGAGCGCGGCGCGCACTCCGCACTCCCCGGGAAACAGCTGGACGCGACCAATTCCCGGGTAGGGGCGGGGGGAGCGCGACGCTCCGCCCCGGCGCTCGGGTCCCTCCCTCCTCCCGGCTCTCCGCGGGCGCCCTCCCCTCGCCGGGGGCTGCGAGTTGCATTTGGTAAAACCCAGCCCGGAATATATAGATCACTGGAGCGCAATGAAGTAGCCTTTGGAGAGGAGGGAGGGGGCCCGTCCGACAGCCCCAGCGGCCAGCGCAGCGGCGGCACCATCCGCGCTCGCACCCCAGCCGCCCGGCCCGCGAGGAGGCAGCGCGGCGGCCGCCGGCGGGAGCGGAGGCGGCGGCGGGGAGGCGGAGAGGAGCAGCAGGAGGAGCAGGGGCGCGCAGCCGGCGGGTCCACGCATCTCGGCACTTCCAGAGCAACTCCGGCGCCTTCCATACCCCTGCCCGGGGCTGGGGGCTCCGAGAGCGGCCGCGAAGCCCTCCCGATCGTCCCCCCACCCCGAGCCCTGCCCAGCCCTGCCCTGCGCCTCCCGGGCTCCGCTCCGCGCGGCAGGGTCCCGGCTCCTGCGCCCCGGGCGCGCCTCCCGGACACCCCGGTCCCCGCAGCCAGGACAAAGCCATGAAGCCGGCGCTGCTGGAAGTGATGAGGATGAACAGAATTTGCCGGATGGTGCTGGCCACTTGCTTGGGATCCTTTATCCTGGTCATCTTCTATTTCCAAAGTATGTTGCACCCAGGTAGGGGGCGCGTTAGCGTGGTTTTGTTGGATATTTTTTTTCCTCTCTCGCGCTCTCGCTCGCTCACTGGCGCCGGGTTTCTGCCTCTTCCAGCCTTACCTCTTCCCTCTCAGCCACCTCGGGGCTCCTTGCTGCCCGGTCTGCCCGGGTCGCCGAGTCGGGATGGAGAGGAGAAGGAAAGACGTACTCACCTTCCTCTTTTTCCTCCCGGTTCCAGGCTGGAGGATGAGAGCAAGGAGGGGCGGTAGTTTTTTTTCCCCCCTCTCCCTTTTTTCTTTGTGTCTCTTGTCTGTCTGTCTGCGAGGTAGCAGAGCAAGGTAGAGAGGTTGTGGGCAGCTCCTGGTGGTGGGGGACCGGTTTGAAGAGAATGCAACTCCCCGCTGATGCCGCGATCTGAGGATGAAAGAGGCGCCGGGAGCCTGCCGCCCTGCGCCCAGGCGCGCTGCCTTTTCCTGGGTGGGGGGCCCGGGGGCGAAGGCTCTGCGCCCCGGCGAGGTCGCCAGTCCCCGCCGCGAGCTGGGGAGCCCGAGGCTTAGGCTCCCACGTGTCCCGGGCTCGGCGCCGCGCAGAGGTGTGGGGAGAGGTTGGGTGCCCGGCGCTGCCCCTCCACCAGGCTGGGGAAGCGGCCGGGCGCCCGCTGATTGCCCCCGGGGTCTGGCTCCGCAGTGACCTTGCGGCTGGTGCCCTGGGGCCTGCTTCACCCTGCGCCCCCACCCCAACGGCTCTCCCGACCCTGCGCTGGTCACGGCCCCCGGGTCACGCCTTGACCACAGCAGTTTTAGAGGAAACTTTGGCCCGGTCCTGGGCTGACCGTCAGGTTGCTTCCCCCACTCCTGGGTTCCGAGCATCTGAAGTCCCCCAGAGGGCCCCGAGGCCTGTGGCAATGAGCCCCCTCCCCCGCAGCCCTCGGGAGCTTCTACAAGTTCCACATCTGAAACGTGGACTGGGGGAGGATTGAGGCTCGCCCCTTTCAAGGGGCGCTAAGGAAAGTTTGGGACCTGGGGAGGGAGGGGCGCCTTCGAGCGCGGCGGCCGGGGGTTCGCAGCTCGAGCCCCCAAGCCCAACAGGTAAAAAACCTTCCGAGGAGGCTTCGGGGAGACGCGGATCTCCCCGGGGAGCCGTGGTATCCCCACCCCACCTCACCCCCGGCAGGCCCCCGCTGGGCCACTTTGGCTCCGAAATCCATTTTTTTTACGCCTCCGAGTTGCCTTTCTCAGTATAGCCACAGCAATAATTTGCTTTTATAATTGCAAGGAGGGAGATGGAAGCACATTTCCTTCCAGGGAAATGGGGTTGGTGTTTTTCTTTTTGCCCCCCCCCCCCGCGTTCTTCTTTCAGTGTGTATCTAACACTTTGAGCAGAGGCAGCCCCGAATTCTTCTAGCCCGCGTTTGGGTGGGTGGCAGAGGAATAAAGCTGTTCTTTCCATCAATCATGCCGGGGCTGCTGGTGGGAGCTTCCTTGACAGCGCGGGGCCGGCCGGGCCACTGGGCTCCCGCTCCCCGCTCGGCCGGAGCAGTTGTTAAAGCGGCCCCATGGCTAAGGATATGGTCTGACACTACCACACGGAACCTCAGAACATCCGAGCCAGCCTTGTAGAAGATGGCTTTTGTTTGCAGCTGGGTATTTTTAGTTTCATGTCAGCAAACTGCAGCCGTGTTTGTCTCCTCACCCAAACCGGTGGTTGGGAAACTTCTAAGGCAATTTAAAAATGGACCTCGCTGATGTTCTGGGCGGTGTCGGTGGTTGCAGCGCGCTGGGCCAGACAGACAGAGGCATCCTGGAGGCCAGACCAGACTCCGCCCCAGAGACTGGGGGACTGGGTGGTGTGCAAGTACACTGGGGCTCCACCAGTTTAAACAAAGGGCCGAATGGTTTGGTCTAGACTCTAGACATGTGTTTAGGTCACTTAAAATTTTGCCTGGATGGAACGTGCCAGGTAGCTCTTTGCAGAAATGCCTGGAACAGGGATGGATCTTAGACTCCATCCAGAATGCACTTGAATTTCACTGTACCTGTTAGTGGTCCAGGGAAATATAACTCTATATGTGACTATATATATATATACAGATAGATAAAACTATAAATTAACTATAATACCACTGCTATCCATGCTTTTCATGTAGCCTGGGCTTTGCTTTTCTTGTCCGAGAATTAGGAAATAACTTTCTAACCAGAGACACTGGGAAGAAATTTCCAACTTGTAATTGGCACTTTGCTAAAATTTCCAGCCCTGGTTTACAACGTTGGCTTGAAAGTGGCACTGGACTTTTCTTCGGTCTAACCTTTGGGAATCAGGGACAGAACTTTCTCTAAGGGTATCCTGATAAGGATCCTCTGTCCTTGACCCTATGTTCTCAGCCTTTGCTTCCCTTCCTGGCCCCATTGCCACCCAAGAAATAGCATTTGTTTATTATTTAAATAAAGTAATTTAATAATTTAAATAAAAATAATAAATTATTATTTATCTCTATGAGTATGCTCTTTTGACTACCCTCCCCACCCTGTCCTTAGCAAGTACTACTTTCAATACCTTCTATTCAATACAGACCTGAAGATGGTTCAATCGAAAGGTCTTCCTTATTTTGAATTACATATTGTTCTGCGAAAACTTCATGCCAATGGTTCATTATAACACAGGGTGTAAAAATATGTTTTGAAATCAATATTAAACATTTCCCTTTCTATTTTTTCCATTTTATTCAACTTTACTGACATTAAACATCGCGGAGCTGATGCTCCATCTTTTCTACTGCTTTGAATTTCTTTAAAAGTGAGCTGATCTTTGCTTCTTCAATTTAGGGTAATGGTGGGATGATCCTTTGGCCGGGCTCTGCAGTTTCAGTCTTTACAGATCACCCAGGGAGAGGCAGAAGGGACTGCAGCATGGCTTAGATTGTGTTGCTAAAAATTTGGAGCCCTCTGGCAGGAGTTTCACATACCTGTATCTGAAATAGAAAAATAGCATTCCAAAAGAAATGGATTCCTGGCTTCTTTGGTGGCTCGAGAACACCTGGAGTGTGAGAGGAGGGAGAGAAAGAAGACAGGAGACGTGACGTGATGGGGAGGGCTGGCTGTTTCTCTCTCTGAGTCTAATCTGGGGCCCATTGTCTTTTGTACTTTTCTAATTCATAAACTGAAGCAATTCCTAAACTTGAGTAGCTGATCTTTCATTTGTTTGGAGCGTTCGGCAGAAGTGGGCCTTGTCAGGAAGGCAGCTTTCTTTACATCTGTGACACTCTGATTTAATAGTTTTTGTTTAGATCAGGGCTTTTTTTTTTTTTTTTAACATTTTAGTTTTAAGTGATCTCTACACCCAGCGTGGGGCTTGGACTCACACCCCTGAGATCAAGAGTTGCATGGTCCACCGGCTGAACCAGTCAGGTGCCCCAGGATCAGGTTTTAGGTCCCATTCTAGTTCCGATGTTTTGCACAGTGCCTGACCCATAGTAGGCTCTCAGTAAAATATTTGCTGGATGAAAGCATGAAGTGGCTCAACCCTAGAAGACCCACTTCTCTGATTTTTAGGAAGGTTGTCAAGCCTTGCCAAGAATGCCCTGTCAGTGAGTCTGGGTCTGTCTGGTGGAGACCGTTCCTTGCCTTCCTGGTCTCTGAGAGCCCCCGCCCCCGCAGACATGAATTTGGTTTAAGTCATCATGCACCAGACAGGAGCATTCCCCAAGGCCTAGATTTGCTGCCCTGAGGTATGATGCAGCTGGGGGCACTGCTCCGTGTCCTGGGTACCAGAGAAGCTTGGCCTTGTTTAACTACTGACTTGAAGAAACCCATCCCCAGGACGAAAACCTTTTGTGGGTGGGAGCTGCTCCTGAAGTTGGTGAGAAAGGAACTGCAATGCTATAGTGGTTTCTGCACACGTGTAGTCCCTCAGTGAGTGCATCCTCTAGAAGTGCATCCTGGACGGTTCGGTGTCTCACATACCTGCCCCGCATACCTGCCCTGGACGGCTGGGCTTTGATGGAGCTGTGTTGTGCAAGGCGAAGCTGAGAGGCCCCCAGGCTGCATTTGTGCCTAGTGTGTGAAGACAGATCCCCTCAACCTTCCTTTTGTGTCACTCCATAGGGTTGTGGTTTGGTTTGAAAGCTCGTGTTCAAAGAAGAGAAGCCTACGGAGGAGAAAGCCTTTCCTCTGTTTCTCATCTTTTTTCCTTTGCCGTATGTTTACTTTCACTGTTGCCTGGGATTTCTTTGCCTTGGTTGCATGTATTGAAAGCTTATACCCTTTATTTAAAGACTTCCTGGGTTACCCCTTTGTAGTTTTACTTGATTAGATGGAAAGCACAGTGCTTTTGTGTTATAATTTCAGTCTAATTATAAACAGAATATGTGCTCTTTTTAGAAAATTTAGGAAGTATAGAAGAGAAATAATCGTTTTTTATTCTGGCACCCAGAGGCAACAGGTGCTTTGTTCTATAAATTATAGAATATATAGATTAAAAAAATAGTTGAGATCACAGTATGAATTTTGTACCTGTTTTGATGTATTTTAGACAAATTCATCGTTATGGTGACTAGTTATTAAGTTTAAAGACAAAATTTAATCACAGCCTTTTTAATTTATAGACTTGCATATGCCTCTGCTGACCCCTCCCCTCCCCCTCTTTGTAGGATGTCAGTCCAATTTTTTTTTCCTTTTTTGCTGCACATGTTTAATTTTATTTTTTGGTTTAACCTAATTAATTATTTATTTTTTTAAAAGTAGGCTCCATGCCCAACACAGAGCTTGAACTCACAACCTGAGATCAAGACCAGAGATCAGGAGTCGGACGCTCAACCGACTTGAGTCACCCAGGCGCCCCTGCACACATTTAATTCTACATTAAAGAATCTTTTTGCTTAGACATGAAATGAGTTTGGAGTCAAAACAATTTGTAGGGGCTATCCTTAGGTCATCTATCTGAAACTTCCTTTGGAAAGACATCAGGAGGGTCTCAAATATGAGACTGTTATGGATCCCGAAAGTAGCATGAAATAACTGAAGGTT